TTATGAGGGTGTTGTGTCAGTAGCATGGTTAACTGCTTCTATAGTGATGATTCAGGATGCCGGCTTGTGTAGAGTAATACTTCTTCCATTCCTTCACTCACTTAGCCAGTCACACAAAGAAGTATATTAATTTCCAATTAAACTCACAGTACTTTATTACATCATCTTTTACAATAATAATATTAAGAAGAATCCTTGCATGAATATCCAGTTAATAACATCCACAATGCAATTATTTCACATATATATATATATATATATATATATAATATTTCATGGTATAGAAAATTCACCTCTCAGAAAAACAACCACGTCCTCACTTAACTACGACATCCGATGTACTGCTGTTACCTCATATAGTGAATGTATTTAAATCAAGACTTACAGTAACATATTTAATGTCTTTGAAATTCTCATTCTACTTTGTTATACTAGATACTTTTTTTTGATAATGATGAGCCATTTTATAAATGAATTCCTAAAACAATCTGATACAATGATTATGGTGAATGAAAAAGAAAAAAATGGCTACATTGATTTATGAAAGTGAACTGTAGACCTATAATTTAACAATTAATAAAAATACTATTCTTTAACATTTAGTTAATTATTTGTCAAAATGATGTTAAAAATAGTTATTAATTAATTTAATTTTTATTTGAACTTAAAGTTTTTAGTGAAAATTAATATTAATACAGAAATGATTTGGAAATGTTCTTTTCAATTTTGTGGAATCCATCTCATTCCTGCACCAGTGGAGAAAAGTAATAAAATTTTGATTTCTCGTCTGTCAAGCAAAACTGATAAAGGTACTATCGAACGTTACTTGTCTAGTAGAAGAAGTGGAGCAAGTCCAAGACAATTGATACCCCCTGTTCAAAAGCTCAGTTCTCAAAAGGCTGTTGCAACTTTCATAAATTCAGAAGGTAAGATGAAATTTGTGTGGTTTGGACCTAAAATACTTTTCAAATTGATTTAAGTAATTTTAAAAAATATATATAATTAAAATTAATTCAATCTTTGCTAGAATCTTTTTTTGTGTTATAAGTTGACCATTTTATTAAAATTTTCTGGCTTATATAACAGGTCTAATGGTTTATTTTTTAAAATCTCAATTAATGTAATATACAAAATATACTAGGCGACTGCATACAAAAAGATTTGATATTGTTCTAAAATTTTGAAAATTATTTAAACATTTATTTTTCAAATATCTGTAGATGTTATGAGTTTACAGCGCATGATGAATCACACACTGACTTAACTCCTAGTCATGCATCTGAACATTACTTAAATTTATTTGTATAAAATATGTTAAATCTAGGGTTGTTGTTCGTCAATCAAAGTCGACTAGGACCATCGAGTCATCCGGTTATGGGAAGGTTGGGATTATGGTGAGCTTGTAGGTGGCTTGCTAGACCGATCCTTGCTCGGAATAATCTATGACACCGAGGGCATGGAATAGTTGCTTCAGACGGTGACCTAATAATGCTCTTTCGGACAAGCCTACGTGTCTCAGCTGTGGTTATTCTATTAGCTTCATGGGATTTAGCCCCCTTCTTGACAGCAGCTATCCACTTGGCTCTGTCCCGGGCTGTCTGCACCCATTGAGTGGGGTTTATGCTGAAGGCCTTTAGTGCCACTTTCAGTGAGTCTTTGTAACGCTTTTTTGACCTCCTTGGGAGCGATTGCCTATCGTGAGTTCTCCAACGAATAATTGTTTCGGGAGCCGGTGGTCTTCCAAATCGGGCTACGTGTCCCATCCAACGGAGATGAGACTGCATCAGAGTGGTGGAGATACTAGCATGGGCGCCCACAGAAAACTTTCTAGGGGGGGGGGGCAAAAAAAATCGATTAATTTTCCAGGGGGGGGGGCAAAAATATTTTAGTAATGTTTTAATGTAGTTTTAATTTACT